CCAAAAAAAATATTTTAAAAAATAATTGTGTCTCCTACTTGAGAAGACATGAGAAAAATTGTTATATATGTGGCAGTTATAGTACTTTTCCCACTTCAAAAAATTGCTACCAGTGGTAGAAAATGAGGAAGACTATTGTAGGGCTCTGCTGAAAAAAACTATTCTCATTCTTTTATGCAGAAAAAAGGTATTCTATGTGACACTTTGTTTGATTTAACAAGAATGGAAGAAATTGATTAGAAAACAATGTACAAAATGAGCTCAAGTTTGTTTTTTCAACACTGCATGTGAGTTTCAGATCCTAGAATTGCGTTCTGTTGAAATGAGAAAGTTTTTTTCCCCTCCTGTAAAATTTGTAAAAAGTCACTTAAAACAGTTTTCCCTCTAGATCTAGACCTGCGATATATTAATCTAACTGTCTCTACAAACCAGGGTATGTGGTGTTTCAGTTACGATTTTTGGTGTTGCATGACGAAAACACAGTCCCAAGTTGGGACTTTTAAAAGTTGAGTTTGTTTATCTGTCTACGGTATGTTGTATCCCACTCAGCTCGGACTGGCCCTGACTGGCAGGGTCAAAGCAGCCCACCTCTGAAATTATCTCCATTGTATAGATGAGTTTCTAAAACACTCAAATCTGCCGAAACAATTTCTCCTAAAGTATGATCTTTTGATTTGAAAATTGGTGTGGTTTGCTCTTTCTTTCTTATCAAACATCTATTGTTCTTATACCTCTTCCTTCTTTTCTTTGAATGTTACTCTCTATAATGACACCTCTATTCTTCGGCTCTTATATGACCTATTTGTGTTTGCAAGTGCCTTAAAACTCTTACTATAATTTAAATTAAGGAAAGGTTCATCCCCAGGCCCAACAGTTCCTGACTTATCACCGGGTTTCTAAAACACTTAAATCTCTCCACCAATTTCTTTCCAGACCCAACAGTTCCTGACCTGTCAATGGGTTTTTTAAGATATAAAAACACTCAAATCTCTCCACCAATATTCTCCTCAGACCCAACTGTTTCTGACCTGTCAATGGGTTTCTAAGATATAAAAACACTCAAATCTCTCCATCAATGTTCTCCCCAGGTCCAGCAGTTCCTGACCGAGTGTAACCTGCGGCAGGAGTTGGCCACGCTCCAGGAGGAGGAGTCGTCGGAGGCCATGCCGGCACAGGACGAGGCCACGCCCCAGCTGGCGGTCAGCGAGATGAACCAGCACAGGCTCACCATAGACATCAAGGTGGGCGCCATAAGCATGGCTATGAGAAATATTGTACATATGATATTTGGCTGTTTCCCATAATTTTTTGCAAATTATAATGTTGATAATGATGATGAAAATAATGATGATAATTATAATTATAATTATAATATGATGATATATCAGTAATAATTATATTTGCATGTATAATAATAATGTTGACAATAATAATAACAGTTAGTGTTATTTTAGTCATGATATTGATAACAATGATTATTATCATATCATAATTATACTGATAATGATATATAATAATTATAGTATAATAATGATGATGATGCTAATAGCAATGGTAGTAAAAAGTTGCACCTAAAGAGTAGATATCCCTACTTGTGAAAGTAGATTATTTTCACTTCACAATTCTTATGACCTCATCAGGACCTACAGCATTCTGGAACATTTCCACTTCTCTAATAGTCTTGTTTAGATTTGTTTGTGGTAAATGTTTTATGCCTTCTACAACACAACTCGGATGAGTGCTTGCTACAGTTCCCTGTGACTCACTATGAGTTACACCACTCACAAAAATGTTCATCATGTAGCCTGGTGCATGTCATACTGATATTCAGAAAACTTCAATTTGTTTTGCTTACACTTACACTGTCATATTGGCTTTTTTATCTTGTCTTTTTTAGCCTCCCAAGTCGAAGAAAAAACTCAATGCAGGCCTGGATGATGACGAAGAAGATGAAGCAGACTCGTATGACCCTCCATCATCTGCAGAGATAGAAGTGGTCCATCGGCACCCTCGGCCTAACTTGCACAGCATCCTGAAACAGCGGACAGTGTCAGAGTCGAGTGAAGACTTTGGTATGGACGATCCATCGAGTCCCCGCTCAGCTGAAGAGAGTGACCCGCTAGCCTCTTCCTCTTCCTCCTTCACCAAGCGGCGCTCAGTTTCCTTCAACTCATACGTGGACCGCGCATCCTTCAAGTCATCCGCTTCGCCATCAAGCATGACCCCAGCCCTCAAATCCAAGCGTCGTCGTCAGAGGAAGAGAGAGATGAAGCTGAATGGGAAACAACGAAGGACGAGTGAGGGTACGAGTGAAGGAAGTAGCGAGGAGTTTCCACACAGTGCAATGTGCGACTCTCACTCTCACAGCGAGGAGGAAGTTGACCCATCCAGTTCTGCTCCTGGGACAAACGGCTCTAGCAGGGCCTGGGCCCCTCTCTCCCGTGCCTTGTCTGACCCAGGACCCAGTGCCATTGGCCAGGAGCCCACCGGACAGAGCAAAAAGCGGGGGAAGAGAGGTGGGAGGAATAAGAAGGGAGCCTCAAAGAAGTGCGAGGGTGAGAACGAGAGTTCTGACCGTAGTGATGACCAGCTGCTGAGTACGGATTCTGATAGCCGTGTGATACCAGGCGCTGAGGATGAGCTTGATTTTAGGACTAAAATGTCTGAGCCTTCACAGGCTGGTGTGTGTGACCGTGTGAGTGATGGTGTTAGGGACAACGGCAGTGCAGGCACTTCTAGTACCTCCACTGCAGATAGTTCTGAAAAAGCCCAAAGTGAGAAAAATAAAAAAATTGTGTCTGAGATAAAAACCAAGATGGCGGCAAGTACGGGTCAATCCGGGGAAGGGGACGGGGTGGACAAGGAAGAGGCGGATAGCGACGACGATTTTGTGGATGCTGTGAGCTCAATGGCAGAGGAAATGGACTCAAAACTTAAGATTGACAATTCACTAGCGAGCAGAAATGGTGGAGGGGATGAGGCAAAGGAAGGTACCACGATATCAGGGCTGCAAGACAAGGTAGGAACAGTGGAAGATGCCTCAAGTGAGAAGGACGGCGGAGATGGGAAGAAAGCGGATCTTCAGGAAAAGGCTCAAGAAAATGGGAAGGATGCTGACAAGCCAAAGTCTGAGGTGGACACCATGTTGAGTTGGGAGGAGCGGCCAGTCAACGGAGGGGAGCATGCCACGCAGTGTGCATTTAACTTCTCCAACTCTTTGCTTTATGATCTGGACATGGACTGACCTGCTTTGGATTTGCGGCTTTCGGTTCTTGTTTTAATTCAAAATTTGACTATGTTTATTGACAGTGTGTCTGTCTTGTGTATTTAAAGATCTACTTGCATGAGCGTGCATTGGGCTGTATTTTTCTTTTAATTAATTTTTCTACATCTTTTGCTTTAAAGCAAAGTAGTATACTGTCATTGGTTATGGCTTCAGCAGATCTGTTGTGAAATTGGAAAGAAACTGACACCCCCCCACTTCCGTAGAGCTGGGGGAAAAGAATTTGCTTAGATGTCGAACTTTTGTTTCTTTCTCTTTTGTAATTTTGTGATGGGCCCAAGGGTTTTTGCAATGGTAGTAGTAGGTAGAGTGCCTATGATAATTATGACCACATTTTGCTAATTGCATTGCCATATTATTGATTTCAACTTCTGTTTTCCATATCAAGGGCCACTTTTCAAATTATGCATTTTACTTTTGGATAGCCTTACAAGTCTGTTATTCTTTTCCATTCCAGATTTTCTTTTGTAGTCAATTTACCTCATGATTGCAAAATATATGAGAGAGAATTTCTTTCTGGGTTTTTTTTGTTGTTTGTTTGGGGTTTTTTTCATTTACATGGACACATTACCTTGTAGATTACACTTCACTGATCAGATTGTGTTCAGCTTGCTTTTGTTTTTAAGTTTGGCCTTGTTTTTGTTGGAATGATGGAATGCTTTCTTAGCGAGACTGCATATAAAATGCCTTAGCTTTTAAAACTAATAATTTTTAGAATGTTTCCCGTTAACGTTGTACCTTTGGCATGTGCCATCTCTTTTTTTCTAGTTAAGTCCGCGAGTATGTTGTAAGTATAGTTTCTCAGTATTGCATGATAGAAGTTTCACAGTATGTTTATAAAATGTAGTAGTTGCCAAGGGAACTGATAACAAGTATAATAGAGATTTGATTTGTGAACTGTTTCCATGTTATGGTAACATCTGAGGTAACATTGGGAAACACTTTAAGAATGTCTTCAAGTCATTGTTGATGTTCGCTCTGTATATGTCCCATTAAAAGACATCCATTTATCTTTTTATGTTAAATTGTTATCCCAAATCTTTTCCGCGTATCCAACACAGGTACACTAGATCGCTTGTAACTCTTCCCATGCTCTAGTGTTTTCATTGCTGCGTCAGACCAGTTTGAGACAGGTTGAAAGGTTGCTGGGAGTTTAACAAGATACTGCATTTATGTTCTCAAATGAGTTGACATATTAGATATATTATACATCATACTGAAATGAAAACAAAAGAATAAGTTATGAGAAGATGGTTTCAGAGAATAAAAATAAGCATAGAGTAGGTCTAAACATCAAGAAAAGGGATCTGTTTTGCAGGTGAGATAGTTTTGGTATGTCACAAATTGGCACAGACTCGGCACCAGATATGATAATAGACAGCATTTGTATAACGCAAATTCCTGCTCAACAGCAAGCTATCATGGAATGACACTGGTGTGGCACAAGATATCAATGATAAATTGTGGATTGGCAAGAAAATAGTTTACCAGCATGCATGTGGCTTCTAGCACGTTTTGTTTTAAGTTTTACTACTACACATGAATATTTTGTCACACCTTGTCATCAGCATTGGGGTCACTACAGTCTGAACATGTCCATCTTTGCTCTCCACCCCTCTTCAGGATCCATCCCAGAGGATTATTTTGTACTCTGTAATAATGTGCTGTGTCTTTGCAAAACTCTTGCGTTTGTTTAGAATCAAGTGCCTGGTTGATGTTGAAGTCACGTTTGATTTTTTACCATTTTTTTTTCTTGCAGATTTCACTGTTATCATTTTAGGTATGTTTGGAGGACGCTTCTTTCTTTTTCTAACTGTATGTTTCTTTCATTTTTTTGAAAACACTCGATGTTACTCTCATCTCTCCCCTTAGTCTTCTTCAACTGGGTCCTCACAGTCTCAGTGTAAGGATCTGTGAGCTGTAGTCCATTGAAATTATGGAGACAGGTAGTTAGACATGGTAGGATCTCACTTTGCCTAAGTTGGCCTTTACAGTTACAGGCATGCCAGAGGGTGGAGGGCTCCGCTGACACTTCTTACATCTTTTCCTTCCTGCTGTTATTTCTACCCTTCTGTCTTGCTTTTTACTTGCATGAAATAGCCTTTATTGTGCTTACATGCATCGCTTGACTCTCGAGCTCTCAATCTGCCAAGCAGAGTTGAAGCAGCCTGCCATTTAAATGAGCTAGATTGTGACAATGGAGGGGTAGAACATTTGCTATCATTATCATTGTCCATTATGGTACTGATGGCTTTCTCTTTGTGTATATTGTTTCTTCTTATTCACCTCTAAATGGACATTCCAGTTGAGTATCTAATACTAAGGTTGCTGTTCGCTGAAGATTTTCCAGGCTCCTGTTGAGTTTTGGGTCTTTTTCCTAGGGTTGAGTCAATATTTCCTTTTCAAGTGCCTCGTACAGTTGGCAGACTTCTATTAAATAGGTTATGTTTTGGGCTAGCCCAAAATGTGTGTGTTGTTTTTTTATCTCATGAATTACTGTACAAGTCTCGTGTAGCCCAGTTGTTGCCAGCCATAGAAATAATAGTGATGTGATAAATTTATCTTCATCTTAATAAACCCCCCCCCCCTCCCCCTGTTTTATCACTCTGACCTACTAACACCTACTAACAGGCTTCTTTTGAATACTAGAGTTTTTTCAAATACATTTAAGTTTAATTTAAGTGAGTTATTTTGACTGAATTATGATTACATACATTTAGGTCTCTTTGTTTGTCCTAGTTGGCCCTCATGTAAAGTGACCAAGTGATTGGGCGTGAGTGCATTTGTGTGTATGTGTGTGCTTACATATACTTTCTTTGAAAGTGTTCGTGTGTGTTCATGTATACTTTAATGTTTGTGGGTCATATGAGTGTGTATATGTCTGTTTGTGTGCCCCTTATATTTGTGTTTGTATGCATATTGGTAATAGTGTGTGTGTTTGAGTGTGCTGACTCTTGTGGGTTTGTGTATGTATCATGTAAATATGTCGATGTAAATTTTTACAGTGGTCTTTGCCTAAGAACGATCCGCTTAAGAACCTGCTTTTACCACGTAACATTTTTTTTTTTTAGTTTGCCTGCCTGAGAACCTGTTTAAAATAGAAAATTGCCATAGGCAGTTATCTTTTCTGAGCCTCTTTATCATACTTCAAGCAGGTTGAGGCAAAGGAAGAGAGGTTGGAATGGACTGGTGGAGGATAACATCTATACTCTCCATGCACAAGTACATAAAATGTTTTGTTAGGCATGTGTGAGCTTTTCCAAGAGGATCAGTTGCTAAATGGTTATCAATTGGTACAATCACTTGCCCCTCTTACGTGGTCAAAACGGCGGATTGTCTTACAAAAGCTGGCCTATTCACAGTGATTCTTTCCCTTATCTTAGTTACACAGTGGTGAGACTTGTACTGTTACTCTTTTTTCAGTTCCGTGCACTATTAAATCATAATGAAAATGTCGCATCATAAAAATTCACTCTGAAGCCTCTGGATCTGCATTAACACCCAAAACAACGCACATGTCTAAGACACGCACGCTTGCACATGCATGCACACTCGCACGCACGCACACACACACACATACACACACACACGTTTTTGATTGATGAAAAAAGGAAGCAAAATCCCCCTATCTTCCCTTGGGCTTCAGTTGTCTACAAGTCATTTTTTCATAGTACAGTGGAATCATGTTATAACGAGAGGGAGGGGACCGGTGCGAAACATCTGTTATAGCAGGATTCTCGTTAAAAGGGATCCAGTAATAAATTCAAGGGAAATAGTGCAGTAGGCCAAATCTATGAGTCTGGTTGTCTGTTCGTTTCTTTTTGTAATCTCCCCTGATGATGATTTGGTTCAACATGATCTATAGGTCGTATTTGATCAAAAATCGAACCTGTTTTTAAGTTCTCCAGGCTAACTCGTCCGCTGTGTTGTCCCCCACCCCACCACACCCTGTGGTGCGTTCTGTCTGCTTGCGTACGCCACACATTCACCCCATCCATCACAGTCACATTGTTGTGACCTCTCCATCACTGCATTGGAAAAGTGAGAGACGTGGTAGGCCTAGATAATCTAGACTAGGCTGGCCTATCACGCGATGCGTTCTGCTTGTCTGTGCATACCACAACCTCCCCACTTATTCACTCCGCCTTCATTGTTGGCACCCATGGGCTCTCCCATTCTTTGTTTCGCAAGATCACCAACAACTAGCGAGGTTTTGCAAGAATAAATGGCCTATGTGCTGTGCACAGCAACAGCAATATTCCGCTATAACCAACTCGCATGTTGGTCTGATTGCGCTATAGCAGTATTTTATTTACAAAGATAAAGAAGGGGAAAAAACAGGGTTTTAGAATAGTGTCTTTATAACAGACTTCTCGTTATTTCAGGACTCGTTATAATTGGATTTCACTGTATGAACTATGGATGCCAACAAGTAGGGGGTGCACCTCTTGATATCAGCCTAAGAATCCAGTTCGCCGAAGGACCTGCTTTTTCTGTCTCTCAATTGCAGGGCTCTTAGATGGAAATTACTTTATGTGTATGTTATATCAACTGCTTAGATTCATCACTTTGCAAAATGTCTTATGTATGTAAGACATCGTGGTGAAATCAGGCGCTCGTCAAAATAAAGAAAATGAAGAAACAGGTATTTTCTGCCAGATTGGCTTTTTTTATCTAAATATCTGGACCTCTATTCAAGATAGACGGATATTTTTTCTTTTAAAAGTTAGGGGAATGAACAGGCTTTAAGACCCTACCAATAACTCAATTTGCCCAAAAATTAACGAGCATACAATTCCACCGTGTGTCATATTATTTCAACATGTCTCCTTGTAGGCCTACTTTTTTAAAAACTTCCATTCACCCTCCTGACTTTCACCATGATTTGTTTTTGTCCAGCTTTTTGCAAATTTTAAAATCTTCTTTCATTTTTTTCTAACAAACTAACCACAAGCATCGTACTGTGTTTCTTTTACATGGCCATCACCATTGTTATTGAGAGGGGGGGGTGGGGCGGCATTGGTTCAGCTGGTATCATGTGGGGTTTCTATGCGGATGGGTTCTGGTTCAAATCACCAAAAGGGCATTTTTGAGGTATGGGAAATTTTTCAGGGCTCTCCACCCTCTTTTTTCAGTCCTCCCAGAGAGCCATATTGAATTTGAAGGTCCTACTTCAAAATGACTTTTTAGTGTTAAAAGGGACATTAAACGCGTAGTTAGGAATTTCCTAAAATGATCGCGATGTTCATGATGTTCAGAACATTAACAGTGGTGCCAGTTATGGTAGAAGCTGTGTTACTTAAGGTATGTCACTTGAACATATTGGTATCAGTTATAATGGCAATTTTGTTTCAAAGATGAGACATGTTTATTTGGTATCAGTATCAGTTATGACAGCAGTTGTGCCTCTTTGATAAGACATGTTGTTTGGTATCAGATTGCACTTAGGTTTTGGTGCAAAGATTCTCTTTTACTTTGTTTTCAACTGTTTACTGTGCAAGATTTTTGTGTTCCAATACAAGTACAAAAAAGTAGACAATTTAATTTGTTTGAGTGGCGTCTAGGCAGGTACAGGTAACAAAACAGTTGACAAGTTGGCAGGAATATTGTGTTCTGGATGGGGGGGGGGGGGGGGGGGGGGGGGGAAAACCCTTGCTTTCCATGTAATGGAATGAAAAGTAGGAACATACTTACAAAGGGTGAGTGTCAGCCCTTAAAGCTAGAGACCCAGATCTGAGAGGTTCCGCTGCCGTATAGTCATAGAGAGACTTGATAACTGTCATAAGATGTGTGGAAGTGACCATCATCAATGATTTATTTACAGAGGCACCAGCCATCCATGTCCAGGTGCTGTTTTAGCCAAGGGTGGAAGTTACCTAGAATTAGTCGCGACATTTTTGTTTCCATAACCGTAAAGAAGCGTAGGTTTATTTTGTGTAATTTTCAAGTGGGTTTTTGTTTGCTATGTGTCATCAGTTCTTAATTTAAAGTGTAGTTCTGCAGGTGAAAGCCAGGATGTGGTTGACCAGCATCTATGATGTGGTGGGAGGGCTCTTTGCTTTTGTCTGTTCGATTTCCACATAGGGGAAGTTATTCTATCGAGAATCTCCGTTTGTCTCCTGGACTGGAAAACTGTTTCCCACTCTGTAAATTGTAAAAGTTGGCCCTGAAAGGCAGGATCAAAGCATCCAGCCTCCTACCTGTCAAATTGTTAATCAATGGGAGCGTCAAACATTGACTGTCAGCAGTCAGCGTTTGGAT